GCTATGAAGAAAGGATGGAGAAAGAATAAAAAGCCTGGAAATTGAATATATGGCTGTAAAATAAAACTAATTGAAGAGCTGGAGGATATTTAGGAGTCCTCCAAGAAAATAGAATACAAAAGAAAGAGCCCTAAAAGGAGAGAATATAACAAACATAGAGGGCCAACAGGGAAGGAACATCTTACAATAAAAGTCCCAGAAAGAAGGAATAGAAAATGGAGATTATCATAAAAATAATGTGAGAAATTTTCATATACTTGAAGAGCAAGAATCCCCAAATTCAAATGGATAAATGAAAAAAAGACCCAATATCACTGTGAAATTTCAGAACATCAACAACAAAGAGAAAATACTAAAATCTTCAAGTGAGAATGAGAAAGAGGAAAAAGGGTCCTATAAAGAAATGAGAATCAGAATGACATTGGATTTCTCATCAGCAGCATTGGATGATAAAACACAGGGAACAATACTTTCAAAGTTCTAGAGGAAGACTGTGTTCAACCTGGAATTGTGTACCTTGCTAAAGTAGCATTTAAAACAATTATATGGGTAAAATAAAATCATTTTCAGAAATGCAAGAATTCAGAAAATCTACTTACTATACATCCTTTCTTAGAAAGTTAACTGCGGATGTGGTGAGGCAAAATACATTCAGAAATCAGGAAGAAATAAATCATGTGATTCTAGATAATGAATTCAATTGAGAATTCAATTCTGTACATCATATTTAGAAAGTAACCAGTCTAAAAGCAGCATGTTATAGTGCTCAAGGAGAGGGGTCCTAAAAAAGAGGGGGAGGTTTGATAGATTACTTGTCATGATAGAAAATCTGAAAAAACAAAAAACAGAAAACCAGGAACAAAATTAAGACAGTAATTCTAGGAAAAATCAGACTGTTGAATATAAAAAAAGATAACTTGGTAAAACAAAAACAAGAAAGGAAATATAATCAGAGTCTGTGACTTTGTTATGCAGCAAACAACTTTTACAAAGTCAATGATTTAAAACTATATTGCTTTTTAAGTTTTAGATCAACCTATAGTCAAAACACAGAAGATTTAACTATGGTTATGAAAAGATTAACACTGACAATCTAGAAGTAAAAGTACAGAGGAGAGAGCCTGGGGGATCGAGGTGCAGGAAGCTGTTTGAAAAGCTGAAGTGATACTAATATTCTCATTTACCGTCTGGAAGTTAAGAGATCTTATTTATATTTGAAAGATCAGGAAATGATTCTGTAGATGTATTACTTAAAGGTACAAAGGCAAGATGTAGAAGAAAAATTAAAAAGCAGGTCATTAGTATGGTGATATATAATGAATGTATAGAAATTGCAGTACATCCCCTTGCAGTCAATAAAATGGATGTCACTTAGATATAGGAAAATGTTTGAGATATTTTAAACAAAAAAAAGCAGACTATAACATTTTAGTTATAAAATGTTCATTTAATTATTTCACGATTATAGGCTTATGGGTCACTTTCTATACTTCATTCAACACATTTTCTGTAGTTCATCCATGTAGAAGGTGTATTGGTTATTTACTGTGTTTTGGCACTATGCTAAGGGCTGTGAGTATTGAATATGGAAGTTTATAAACACACTCAATCTCTGCCACACAGCTTACAGTCCAAAGAGGAAGATACATATTGTACCAGTAACTATTTAAAAATGTGAACTCTATGATGGAGGACATTCATGATGTTAGGAGAGCATTGAGCACAGGTCCTAAAACTAATCTAGGAATCTGGAAAAGATTCCTTCAACCAACGACTATTAAGTTTTAAATAGGAGAGATTTGTTTTATTTTTGTTTTTTTTTTAAAGCAGAGATTCAAAATAAAAGCATATTGTTATTTCAATTACATAAATGTATGTGCTCAGGAAAAATTCTCAAGGGACACAAAATATTAACTGAGATTATCTTTCAATTTTGGAATCTGAGGAATTTTATATTTTTCTTTATACTTTTCTGGTTTTTCCAAGTTTCTACAAGGAGGGTGAGTGGCTTTGATAATAAAAGCTGTTGTTACTGGTGAAGCAGTTTGGTATTTGTGCTGTTTGAGTTCCTTTCCCTAGTCCTACCTATGGAAGCTGAAGGCAGTTACTAATCTATCTGAAGCACAAACAGTTACCAAAACATCTGTCTACCCTAGGCATTTTTGAAGACTGTCATTGGAGATGGTAGATTCCTTTCAACAAATGTTTCAGTTAGCAAACTTGGAGACTGTGTTTGCCATGAATTTTGTTAATAGAGGCACATGTTGGGATACTCCTTGAAAGTGCAAGGAGATGCAGATGACAGGGATAAGCCCAGCAGTTACCTATTATTTCTGATACTTCTTTATTTATTGGGCTACTGTGCCATGTCTTTTAAAATTTAACTATATCCTATAGTATGTTTTTATTGAAAAAATGTGATTTAAAATGTAAAATAATCCCTGTTTTTATGCCCATGTTCCTTGGGTTGTGTTTTTAGGTTCTAAAAGCATTTAAATTGGTTCTCCAATGACTAGTTATTCCTACATGTAGGATCAAATCGATCAGTGGTGATTTTTATGGACTTGGAAATTTAGTTTACTGCACATATAAGTCCTCTGCATCATATTATTTCTCCAATCACACATTTATATCATTATTTTGAGAACCACATAACTCTGTATTTTATCCAAAGATCTTTTTTCTCCAACATGAACTAAGGTAGAAGATCAAATTAATGCATCGTAAGTTGGCAATACATTTAAAAACCTCATGTTATAACTACAAGATTCATCTGAAAGGTAAATTGCAGTGTGTGTACCCAGAGATTTAAGATCAGGTGCCGGGGCATCAGCATGTACAGAAAATCTCTATGTTCTCATGTCTTAAGAGATTTATTAATATAAGGAAAGTCTAGGATTGGTGTGTGAATGTGTCGCTTTATCTAACCTCATCTTCTCACTTCTATTTGTTTGTGTGTCTCTGTTAGAAAAAGGGGGAGGTTCAAAGGGTATTGTTATATTACAGAAATAGTACAGGCTGCTAGTCAAAAGAATTGGATTCTAATTCCGACTTTACCATTACCTAGGTAAGTCACTTAATCTCTCTGATTCTCACTTAAACCAAATGATCTCTTCAAGTCATTTCTAATGTAAATATCCAGTGATTTGATGAGATCTTACTTTTGGATAAATCACAAGTAAGGGCTACTCTGCCCAGTTCCTCCTCCTCTGGGATCCAGGCCTTTTGTGCTCACCCCTATTCAGAGCCACTCTGTCCCTCACCAACTACCTACTCCAGGAAAATCTCACAGCAAGAATTCAACAGTGATGAGGGAGCTATACTACAACAACATCCTTCATACGGCCCAAAGGAGAGAGATCTGAAGGGGTATGGGGTTAGTCAGAGTCCAAAACATGTGTCTTCTCTGGAGGAACCTCTCAGGCCTTCCCAGCTAAACTCATGGTCTTATCCCTTTCCTGGTTCTTCTGTATCCATTTACCTGAACTTCTTCCAAATCTACTTCCACCTCCAGATTGACCTCTAAGCTGATTCTGCCATTGGGGACAGTGAAGGGGTCATAAAGGAAAGTAAGCAAAAAAAGTTAAGATCCATTCAAAGGGAAAAAAAGCTCACAATAACAAAAACCAAGGTTCTGTATGCCCCCTAGCTACATAAAACACTGCTTTCCTATAGAAGCTCAACCATTTTCTATATAATTCTGATTTTCTATTAACAACCTACATCTTTCCCAGAAGACACATTTCTTTGTTCTCATATGTACATTTCATCTAAAAGTACATTCCATAGCACAATGATCCAACTATGGGCTGAATTCTCTGGAAACTGCCAGCATTTCTCTTTCTACCTTCCTTCTGTTTCTAAGAGCAGTTGTGGATTAGTATAGACCCAAAATGGAAGTTGAAATATGTATTGCATCATTTGTCATGTAGCTACAAAGGAAGCAGCAAAGCTAACCTAACCAGAAATGAGCAACAGGAGATTTCTGATAAAGAACTCATGGTTATCTAGAAGCTGAATTAAATCACAGACACCAGAGTTTGGAATTGCATTCTGAACTACAAAATTAGAGGTAACTGCCTCCTACTTACATGATAGTGTCAATTTAATTTGAAATTTGAGTATGGTTTTATAAGCTTAGCATTCCATTCTGTGGTAGTGCAGAGAGCATTTTTGTATTTATCAGGTTTCCATGCATTTAAATTTGGAAAAAGAGATGACAAAAAAAAACAAAAAAAAAACAAAGACAAAAACAAAAAACAACAATCTGGGTATCCCTGATGTGGGTACTATGATGGATGTTGATAGTATTTAGAAATAAAATTAATGAGATTACCTTTTTATGGGCTCAATGTTCATCAATGAAAATATGTAACTGATGAATTGAGCCCTGTTATCAGGCAGTTTAAGCCTTTCCCAGCATAGAATAGGAAGGTAGAATGGATGCTTCTCTCATTGGGTTTGCATCAAGTAGACCAAATGAAGATTGTATAACTGATGCAACTCTTACTTAACTTTTCTCTCTCTAATTTGGGAATAGAAAAATCCACAATTAATTTTGGATTCTGCCAGGAGAGACAAAGGAGGAGCAGTGAAGTTCTGGGGGAATTTAAAATCTTGCTGCATCCCCAACCGACCCTAGTTTGGGCCACTAGGGCCCAAGATAGAAGCTGCTCCTGCCAATCATTTTTAAAAACTTTAGCCTCATTTCAAGGGACATTGGTCTTGCTTCTGCAGACTCGTAATTCCTTTATTTGCTCTTGGGAAGAAAAAGCAGGTAGAGGCTTAAAAGCTAGATATCCCTACCCAACCCATCTCCTTGTTCATCATTCTTAACCAGGGAGAAAGCTGACGGGACACTTTGTCTCTAGCTAAGGGATATTTTCAGATACTGAGGTGTTGCCAGAGACAACTGGTCAGAGAAGTTAGGAGGGAGAGGAAAGCGGAGGATCCAGATTCAACCCTTGTAACTGGTTGCTGCTTTCCCCATAAGACTGTGCATTGATAGACCTCCTGTCCCTCGCATTTCCTTTTTCCCTCCCCTCTCATACGATATCTCTTTCTGACCCCAAATTTGACCTTTCATAGTAAGAGGTCAGTATGTTTTCACACTTGGGAAATCTCATTCAAGAATTCTTGTCAATGGACAAGTCATAAGAAGCCCTTCCATTTTAGGGCTCGTTGACGTCACCAAGGAGGCGATAAATATCTGTTGATATAATTGGATGTGAGATTCAGTGTTGAGATAGCAAAACTCTGCCCCTCGTTCTCTGGCAGGGCCCTATGATTTATGCAGGAGCAGAGGCAGCACGCAATCGAGCTGTCAAGAGAGCGTCAGCTTATTAGGCAAATGCTGCGTGGTTTCTGAAGAGGGTCGACGCTATAAAATCCCACTCCAGGCTCTGGTGTGGAGAAACTCAGAGCCCAAGTCCGTTTAGAGACTGAAGAGAAAGATAAGAGGTGAAGAAAAGAGAGTGAGGACAGAAAGGAGAGGGAAGAAAACCCCTGAAAAAGCCCGGAGACGTTCCTCTGCAGAGAGGCGGCAGCGCCCCACTCACCTGCAGAAGCACCTCAGAAGGTAGGGAGTGCCTAGACGGAACCGCGCCTCCAACTTTGCATTGCCTGAGCTGCCACGGTGTGCGCGGCAGAGCCGGGTGTCCCTGTGAGGGCATGTGTGTGAGTGTGAGTGTGTGTGCGTGCCTGTGCGTGTGTGCTGACTGTGCCTCAAGATTCCGGTAGTAGCCAGCATGTGTCAAAAGCAAACTTAGACGGCTGCTAATCATTCTTGAACTGCCAGTTACTCCTCGCTGGCATTGTAGACCAGTCCCCGCCATCGATCCCGACCCCTGAGAGAAGGACGCAAGGGCTGGGATGGAGAAAGAGGAGGACGAGGCAGCAGTTCTCAATTTGGAGGACGACGCGGAAACATCCGGAAAGGGCGGGGTGGGGGCGGGGGAGATCTAAAATTTGTAGATCTTCTCTAGAGCTCGGGGAATCAGTTTTGGGGATCGTTAGAAAGGGGACTCAGAGACCCTCCGAGGGTCTCGGAAGAAGAAGGGTCACTCCAGCCTGACGAGGGGCTGAGCTTGGTGCTGAGCTCTGTAGTAGTCCCTTTCCTGCCGCCCCCACCCCCAATCCCTCCAACTCTGGAAGTCCTAGTTCGAGAGCTTCAGCACCGCGGACAGTGCCTGCCCGAACCCCTGAGGCACGTCTGTGGGTGTCATGTAGGAGGACCCCGAGCGCACCTCCCATTTGAGCTAAACTCTGACCAACTCTTTCTCTCTCTTCCCTTCTCTCATTCCGCTCTCCGCCCACCTCTCTGCCTCAGCGAGCGCCCCTAACATGCGGCTGCCGCTTCTCCTGTCCGCGGGCGTCCTGCTGGTGGCTCTCCTGCCCTGCCCGCCATGCAGGGCCCTCGTCAGCCGGGGGCCCATCCCCGGCGCCCGGCAGGTGCCGCAGCACCCCCAGCCCATGGATTTCTTTCAGCTGCCGCCGCAGCCCCAACAGCCCCAACAGCCGCAGGCTCGACCCGTCCTGCTCCGCATGGGGGAGGAATATTTCCTCCGCCTGGGTAACCTCAACAAGAGCCCCGCTGCGCCCCTCTTGCCCGCCTCTTCACCTGTAGCTGGCGGCAGCGGCAGCCGCCTTTCGCCGGACGAGGCGGCCGCCAACTTTTTCCGCGCGTTGCTGCAGCAGCTGTCGCTGCCCCGGCGCCCGCTCGACAGCCCCGCAGGTCCCGCCGAGCGCGGAGCAGAGAACGCCGTTGGCAGCCGCCAAGAGACACCGGAGAGGGAGAGGCGGTCTGAGGAACCTCCCATCTCGCTGGATCTCACCTTCCACCTCCTCCGAGAAGTCTTGGAAATGGCCAGGGCCGAACAGTTAGCGCAGCAAGCTCACAGCAACAGGAAACTGATGGAGATTATTGGGAAATAAAACGGTGCGTTTGGCCAAAAAGATGCAGCATTTAGCACAAAAAAATTTAAAAAAAATACAGTATTCCGTACCATAGCGTTGCTCTGATACCATTTGTTTATTTTTTTATAGCTTGAAGCCTAGACGATATACAGCAAGAGAGCCTATACTTAATTAGCATGCACAAAGTGTATTCACGTGCAGTAACAGCAACAAAATGTTATTTGTATTGTCTACTTTTAGTTTCCATTTCCAGGTGTCTTTAATAGTATTTAGAAAGTGTAGACCCAGAAGGAAATGTTTTGAAGCAGACAGAAGTCACCCAATTTATTTTGTTGTGGTCTGAGCCAAAGAGAATGTCACTCTCTTGGGTGGGTGAAACAAAATCTGTAAGCTCTTTGAATCAACCTTTCCTTGTAAACGTTTCAGTAATAAAACATCTTTCCCAATCCTTGGTCCATTTGGTTGTGTAAAAGAATGTTGAATATTTATATTTTTAATAAAAGCTGCAAAGGTAATCATGACTTTATTTTTCCTTTTCAATGTTCATAGAGTAAAACTCTCGGCTCCTGGCTTCCTTCACCCTGACTTCAGCACAAGAGAAAACAAAACTCCTTGCATTAATTTCCTACTAAAAATACATACATACACCAGTGGCTTACACAGATACTGCAATTGCCTCTCTGTACCTCAGATTACTCCTCTGAGGTTAAGTTAAATAATTTAGGAAGTTTCTTCCAGCTTTAAGACTTGGTAATTCTATGAATGGAAGATCAATTCATAATGGAAATAATAATTAACCCTGATTAACTATAAGATGTTAAATAATTGTAGAGGGCAGGAAAAGAGGAAAGGCAAAGAGGAGAAGGGTTCACAGGGCATTCCTCCAAAGTACAGGGCCAACACTGCTTGTTTTTGTTTTTGTTTGTGGTGTGAGAAAGACTCACTTTATCAAGCTACTACTTTGGTACCATAAAATATAGTTTTTCTATGCTATTTTCCAGTGCCTACTTCTAATAGGAGAAATTTGATAGCTTCTCCACTTGAAGCAACAAATTTAATTGCTATGAAATGGCACTTGGGAAAATGTTTCATATAAAAATATTTTGACTTTAATAACTTCACAAATGCTCTTCTCATTTATGTCTATACCAATCCTAATCACTGTAGTTCTTAAGCATATAAACTACGCATTTCTAAAATGGAACAGGCCCATCCAGTTAGTTTTACAATGCATTTATCTTTGGTAGTTGGGTTATAACTTACAAAATTCAATTGAATATTTAATGCTCCAAAATTAATTTGGATGTACGAAGATGCTTCTTCCCTTGGGACCCTTTGAATACCCTTGCTAATGTACTAATAAGATCACATGAAACGCTGAATAAGTCATTATAAGACTAAGTTGTTAAAAACAGCATTTATTTAAGAGTTAATACAGAATAAAGTAATACTTATGTTTTGAAGGAGGCATTATGGTGGTGATTTAAATATATATATATGTATTTTAAATGTGTATTGTGTGTGTATATATATTTAAATACATGCAGTTATTCTATAGTTCACCAGGCTGGTGCCTCGGTAGGTACATGAGAAAGTAGACAGTTCCTGTTGGAAATTCTTTTTCAATTTAAGTGCTTGATAGCTGCACATCTACCTTAGATTAGAAAAATGTCACCAGAAATGTCCTAGGCCTTCAGCCTTCTAGACTATGAAAGTGTCACCAGAGTTAAGGAACATTTCTGGATATACATCCAGTGACATCTGTTATGGAAAAGAGGAAACCTTTGTAAAACGTTTCATATCTTTGGTCAATGATTTACCTTTTGTCCATATATTGATAAATTAGTTACTTCTGAATTAACACTGAATTTCACTGACCAACTGCATTGTTAAAGAAGAAAGAGAGGAAGAGCTACTATGATACTATAACAAAAGCCAGTGCCTATTAAAGACAAGAGTGTAGTGCTACACTTTTTCAACACTTGCCACTTGTTACAGATGCACGCACACATATCACACCTACATACTCTTCATCATGTTTCCACACAATAAAAGATTTTCATAAGATCAAGTTTCTTTTTTCCAATACTTTTGGCAACTATTTTCTCAAAGTTGTTTTCCCTCTGGAAGGTCATCTGGAATTAAAGGGTTTTTTTGTTTGTTTTGTTTTTGTTTTTGTTTTTTTGCAGAAATCCTGTTCAGAGGTCCCTTTCATCACCTGCATCACATTAATTTCATCTAGGTTCCCTGCTGCTGGTGTGCATCTCAGCCAGGCAGACCAAGGGCAGCAGCTGGAATGAACATCATTCATTCAGGGAGTTCAACCAGGAAAAGGAGAAGACATGACGAGCTGGCTCAGAATCAGCTCCATTCCCACTCCCTGAAGCTGCAGACTGTACCTGGAGGAGAGGGTCCTCAAATCCAATCTGCAATAGAAGAAAATCTGGATCAGAGGAAGAAGAGCCTAGTCCTTTTGGGTTGGTCCAGTCACTTTTCTACTCAGGAGAAAGGATAATAATAATAATTATTATATAGAACATAATTATTATTAGGGATGGAAAGCAGCTCAGGCTGTCTTGGCTATGGCCAAGAGCCATGAAAATAATTCACACTCATGATCCAGAAAGGGGCAGCAGTAACACATGCAGTAGAGGGAAGTTCTTGGGAAAGAGTCCAGGCTATTTTTTTTAAGTCCACTTGTATATGATTTACTGAGATGAAAGTGGCATTGAACTAATAGGACTTTGCCTTTAGAAAAGTCTGCAGTGTACAACATGATGACAATAGTTAACACTGCTGTCTGACATATTTGAAAGTTGTTAAGAAAGTAGATCCTAAGAGTTTTCATCACAAGGGAAAAAAACCATTTTTTTTCTTTTTGGAGTCCGTATGAGATAATGGATGTTAACTAAACTTATTGTGGTCATCATTTCATAATATATGTTAAGTCAAATCACTTATACCTTAAACTCACACAGTGCTGTATATTATATATGTATATGTAGATAGTTTTTTTTTTTTTTTTTTGCAAAGCTGTAGGCTTAGTTTTGAGCAAATCATGAGTGAAAGGACTTCTTTTCTCTAGGCAATAACATCTAATGACATCAAAATTTCTAAAGAGATATCTATCTTTTATAGAAACCAGGCAGATACCATTTGTGATTTTGAAGTAATTGATCAATCTAATCTCATAAGTGAAATTAATTTCTGTTGTTCTGAGTTTAAAAAATAATAAATGGGGGACAATCATAAAGAAGTCTTGCTGAAATGCAATTTGATGTATATACTCAGATTCTTTACATTTAAAGGTACTCTAACAAACACAGTTCTTCCTAGAGCTACCAAAGACAGGCTAACATATTCTGATGACTTCACTTGTAAAATTATCCCGCTGGATTAGAATGGCACTGATTTCAAAGCAATGAGGTAGGCACATGCATTCAGTGCAGAAGCCTGGGTGATTTTGTGAAGCTGCTGTATGAATGGACGATAGAAAGCTGGCATGACAAAGCAGAATTTTGGTAAGTATGCTGTGTTGTTGCCACTTGAAATAGTTTCGAGTGAAAAATGAGTGCTTTTCTTGCACCTTCCCAGATTTTACCCTAAATATAAGTTTTGGGGTAATGTTTCAAGTTTAGTAAAATTGTCCCAAGTCCTTATGGTTTAGGGATTATCCTTCCAACTGCCATGTTGTTCCTTGATAGAAAGTTTAGAAGGGCCATGAAATCATACTTAGTCACAGTAGAATAAAACCAAAGCAAGTAGTTTTCCATGAAGGAACAGTTGAGACATCAAGTGAAATTGGGCTTTTTAAAAAAGACTGCCATTATGCTATTAGATCCTATTGGTAATAAGTTAGATACCTCTGTGTCCTTGAAGTTGATGCAGAAAAAACAAGATCCTGATAGAATCCTGTGCCTTTTTATGCACATCAAACTATTCTCTTCCCAACTGTAGTCACTTTAACTAATCCTAAAAACAAAAACCAAACCAAACCAAAATAAAAATAAAAAATAAAAAACAACCAAATAAACCCCCAATCCAAGTGATCTGGACATATCAGTGATCTGTAGAAGACCTTTTTCTACCCATTTTATAGGAGTAAATACCAAATTCTGCATAAACATACAGACCATGAGTGTGCATTTTATAGCCTCTTTGAAAGCAGTCCCTAATCTAGAGGAATCTTCCATGACAGCTGTTCTGAAATATCTAAAGGGCAAAACTAGTTGGGTAAGGTATTTTCTGTAGAGGGCTATAATCTTTGCAAAACTGCTGGTGGCTAACAAACCATTTGGTACTGCTTTGGGGATTTGTGTATATTTTTGTGCTTTCCTGTACTTGAGATGAAAATCTATCTTCCATTGAAAACGTTCTAGCTGTTAGTACCTGACAGCCTTCAAAACTTGGTATCAAGTCATTGAGGTTGCTCCTTTTACATCCCCATGTTTTCATGCAGTCATTAGATTTTCTTCTAAACGATGTGGACAGATGCTGTCTTTCAGAGAAGGCCAGTGCCAGAGTGGGTGCCAAGAGCAGAGATTTATCCTGAGTATTTTCAGGTGACTACACCATCTCCTTGGTCTTGTTTATGTAAACTTGGGGACCCACCAACCATCTCAGCAAAGAAGTTCTATGCCAAAAATGGTAAGCCTGGCACAGAATCCGAGACTAACCACTTACTAGCTGTATGACTTGGATAAGTCAGTTAACCTCTGACTTTAAAAACTAAGGTTTTTCTTTTTGTAAAATAGAGATGAGACCCTATCTCACAAGGCTGTTGTAAGTACTGAATAAATAAAGTAATACAGCTAAAGCACTTTGCACATGCCTCACTTATATTAAGTGTTTTAAAAATATGCATTTCCTTCTTCCTTCTTCCCCCTCCCTTCTCCTCCCTCCTTCCTTCCTTTCTTCTTACATTAGTGAAGAGGCTCCCCTACCATGTAGAATCACCTGGGGACTGCTTATGAGGAACTATATACAATAGCAGTGACCCCCAGTAAGGAAAGATGATTATATTTGCAATGCTCATCTTGTCAGAATTGGTTATTATAGGATTTAATTCCCGTGGCATATTGTAATCATGATTATCCATGACCTGCCCAGTGTATCTCTAAGTAGCCCAACTTTATATTTGGCTCTTTCCTAAAGGAAGAATGAGATAAAGATTTAGAAACCTCCTTTCTCTAAGTACAGCCCATGAAATCATAAGCAGACATTTTCCTATAGCCTTCCTCAAATAGAATTGTATATACGTATGCCTTTAAATTTTCCAAATGCTAGTTCTCCTCCATCACAGGAAATGCTATTTCTTGGGAATACAGATGTTCCATGAAGCTGAACAAAGGACAGAAAATGACAAGCACTGAACTTCCCTACCTGCTTTTGAGTTTGTCCTGCATTTCAGTCTCCTTTGAGATGTATAAAAAGATGAAGAAAGGATTATTAGTCCCTTATTACGTCTACATTTTACACATTTTTCTCAAGTGACCAAACAAACTTACAAACCTCACCTAACACTACGCTGTATCACCATGGGACTTCAGATAATTTGAGAAATGAATTTTAGTCATAAAATACAAGCAGGAAATGGACTAGGGAGGCAGCATTTTCCCTCTCTCAGCTGCAAGACGCAATTCAGTCAAGATCCACAAAAGACCATAGAGGGGAGTGACATACATTTGCTTAGGAGAAAGACTGTTTTTCTTAGATGAACTTGACCAGGGATGCCGGGTATTCATGAACCAGATCCACGCAGAAACAAAATCTTTTCCTTGGATTTTTTTTTTCCTGTTACTATCAAATGTTTTTTGAGAGGACAAAAAATAATGTCAGATTATGGTACAAGGGTTTTACTCCATAGAAGAGTAGGGTGATGAGAGGTTCTTCCACCCAAAGCTGCATGATGTGCTAGCATCATCCTTGACAAATGATGTCATCTAGAATCATTTGTTATTGATGGGGATTAAGGAGCATGCATTCTTCCAAAGGCTTGTGGACATCTGTCTCTGTGCACAGGACAGTTCCAGGTTATGCACAGTGTTTACTTGGTCTGAACTGTGTGGCTGAGTGGTATTTTGACAAAAACTCGAATTAGTTGCAACATTAAAAAATCAGGAGCAAGGATGTGGAGAAAGAGAAGCCCTTGTGCACTGTTGGTAGGAATGTAAAATGGTGCAGCTGGTGTGGAAAACAGTGTGGCAGTTCCTCAAAAAATTAAACATAGAATTACCACATGATCCATCAAGTCCACTTTTGGGCATATACCCAAAAGAGTTGAAAGCAGAGACTCATACAGATATTTGCGCTATGTTCATAGGAGCACTATTAACAATAACCAAGAGTGAAAGCAACGCAAGTGTTTGTCAACGGATGGATGGGTGAATAAAAGGTAGCATATATATATATATATATAATAGAATATTATTCAGCTTCATAAAGGAAGAAAATTCTGACACATGCTACAACATGGATGAACCTTGAGGACATTATGCTAAGTGAAATAAGCCAGTTACAAAATGACAAATATTCTGTGATTCCACTTATAGAATACAAAAAGTATCTAGAGTAGTCAAACTCATAGAAACAGAAGTAGGATGGAGGTTGCCAGGGGCTGGGGGAAGGGGGGAAATGGGGAGTTGTTTTTTAATGGGTACAGAGTTTCAGTTTTGCGAGATGAAAAAATTCTGGAGATTGGTTGTATAACAATGTGAATATACTAAGACTACTGAACTGTATGCTCAGAAATGGTTAAAATGGTAATTTTTATGTTATGTGGGTTTTGCCACAATTACAAATTAGGGGGGAAAAAAGGAGACTTCACATTAAAATCTGGATTTGCAGGTTCTCTTGACAAAGCAGAAATGTAGCAATCCAGCACCTGCGTGGAGAGGCCCTGCTCTTTGTCCCCTTGGACTGCATATGCTCTCTCTCTTTCCTGATTTCCATCGTGCTCACTACTCCCTTTTGCCTTCTCTGCAGCAAGACTGGTTTCAGTGGCCCTTTTTTGTTGTGCTTGTATAAATGCTATGCTCAGATTAAAGAGGAAGGCAAACTAAATCTTGTATTTATGCTTTTATTAACATTTTTCTTTTACCTGGCTTGCTTTTTCATTAATGTTACCTTTTTGGTCTCTAAGGACACACAGACCTATTGCTCTTTTTTTTTTTTTTTAATTTTATTTATTTATTCATGAGAGACGGAGAGAGAGAGAGAAGCAGAGGGAGAAGCAGGCTCCCAAGAAGCAGGGAGCCCGATGCGGGACTCGATCCCAGGACCCTGGGATCATGACCTGAGCCGAAGGCAGACGCTTAACCATCTGAGCCACCCAGGCGCCCCAGACCTATTGCTCTTAACCGAAGGCTACTTTTTAGTAGGAAAGTGTCAAAGAAAATGAAATGCTCAATGGAGTCTTTGGCTTGGT